AAATCATTGTATGCTGGGCACAGTGGCTCACATCTGTCATTCCAGCACTGTGGAAGGCCAAGGCAGGCAGATCACTTGAGCCTAGGAATTTAAGACAGCCTGGGCAACATGATGAAACCCTGTCTCTACAAAAAATTTTTAAAAAATGAACTGGGCATGGTGGAGCACATCTGTACTCCCAGCTCCTTGGGAGGCTGAGGTGGGAGGATCACTTGAGCCCAGGAGTCCAGGCTGCAGTGAGCTGACATCCTGCCACTGCACTCCAGCCTAGGCGACAGAGTGAGACCCTGTCTCCAAAAATAAATAAATAAAGCCTCGTGAAGAATCTGCCATGGAGCATAATGTGACCCATAAAGCCACTTACCTGGGCACACGTAAACTACAGTGTGTCCCAGTTTGTTGAAAGTGAAAAGCAAGGGACCACCTCTGTGTGGAGAGTCCCTGCCTGCCCTCCAGACCCCACTGTGTTCTCTGTGTCTGACCATGGTGGGCCATCACTCAGGCACTAGTTGAGAATGCCAGTGTCTTTTTTTTTTTTTAAACGAAGTTTTGCTCTTGTTGCACCAGTCTTGGCTCACTGCAACCTCTGCCTCTCAGGTTCAAGCAATTCTCTAGCCTCAGCCTCCCGAGTAGCTGGGATTACAGGCATACGCCACCCTGCCTGGCTAATTTTTTGTGTTTTTAGTAGAGACAGGGTTTCTCCATGTTGGTCAAGCTGGTCTCAAACTCCTGACCTCAGGTAATCCGCCCGCCTCAGTCTCTCAAAGTGTTGGGATTACAGGCGCAAGCCACCGCGCCCGGCCCCAATGTCTTTAGTTATTGTAATTTCAGAAGCACATCCTTGCTGGACAAATCACCTACCTGTTAATTTTTTAAAGTAATGTTGATCATTTTGAACATTGTTTTCTTTCTTTTTTATTCAACTGACCCTCATAAGGAATTGAACTTGATTTTCTGAAGTGTGCTGGGAATGTTTAAAGGATGTAGAAACACTTTTCATAGGTCTCAAGTGATATAAACCACAGTTCTTTAGAAAATATCTTTTTTTACCCATTCTGGATTTTAAGTATATATACAGATCTCATATCTGAGATTCTCATGTGATATGAACTGTTTCAAAGCACATTGATAGAAGATACATACCATTTTCTAGTTAAGAGGGCAGGGCTGTATTTAGTTTTAAAAATTTTAATGCATTTTATTTGCTAAATACAAAATTATGATATTGCATATAACTTTCCAAATCTCCTCTGTCCTCCGTTCCCACATCTCTTTATATTCAGATGCTTGTCCCTCCAGCTTAAAAATTAATGACTTCGAGAAAATTCATCTTCAGTTATCTGAATTACTGCACCCACACACACTCCCCGTTAAGTATCTGCATATCTGCGTCTTACTATTGTTTTAACATTCGGTTCTCTGCCTGGGGAGTTGGGGTGGTTGCTTTAAGCTGCTCTGCTCGTCTCAGCAAAGAAAGCAATATTTTGTTATGAGGTAGAGTTTCAAGCCAAGCTTTGGCCAGAGTCTTTCCCATTTGGGAGGTGGAAAGTAGGAACAGCGAGTGAGACAATAATTCTCCTTGAATTTTAGCTCATTAAAATCTTCCCTTGTCCTTGGTGGGTTATTTACTGATTTAAGCATCTAGCACTTTTCCTTTCCAGAAAGAATTAACATCTACTATGCGATCATTGCTAAGGGAGGAGCGTTTGTCTTTTCTCTGTGGAATGAGCTGTTCCCCAGTCGCTGATGAGCAAGCCCACGTTAGAGTTGAGTGTAGGTATGGAGCCGAGGGCTCAGAATGAGATTTCCAAGATTTATAGGTAATGAAAAGAACAGGTTGTATCAAAGACACCACGTGTAGGAAAATAAGTGTTCTTAGGGGACTTGTGTGAACCTGTGATCCTTGGCTTCCTCCAAAATGAACATTTCAGTCTTGTTCACATTAACCTCCTTTTTACCGTTGTTTTAACATGTTCTGGTTTTGCTGCTTTTGTGCCTGAAAATCTAGCAAAATGGCGTTTCTTATCTGCAGATCTGCGACAAAGCTTAAACCTTTGTATTTCTCTTGAGGATTGCTGTGGTTGAATTTTTGACAGTAGTATGTGTAAATGAAGAAATAAATTTTTTTTTTTATATATAGATGTTTAAAATCCTTTTTCCACTAGCACTATTTTTTTCCCCCATATATACCATCACCTGGAGTGCTGGCTGTATTTTAGATCAGTAGAAATTATAGGTGGCTTTACGGGATTAGATTGCTGGTGATATTGGCTGCAATTTTTTTTTTTTTTTTAGACAGAGCCACTCCATTGTTCAGGCTGGAGTGCAGTGGCGTGAGCTCGGCTCACTGCAACCTCCGCCTCCTGGGTTCAAGTGATTCTCATTTGGCTGCAAAGTTCTTACAGAGGATGAGTGATATTTTGGCCCTGTGGCACAGAAGAATGGTTATTTAGGCAAATGTATTTTGTTTTTGAGACAGGGTCTTGCCCTGTCACCCAGGCTGGAGTACAGTGGCGTGATCACGGCTCACTGCAGCTGTGACCTGGGCTCAAGCGATCATTCTACCTCAGCTTCTTAAGTAGCTAGGACCACAGGCACGCCTCACCACACCTGGCTAATTTTTATTTTATTTTTGTAGAGACAGGGTCTTCCTATCTTGCCCAAGCTGTTCTCAAACTTCTGGGCTCAAGCAGTCTTCCCACCCTGGCCTCCCAAAGTGCTGGGATTACCCAGCATGGTGGCATGAGCCAACGTGTCCGCCCTGGGCAAATGTTTTAGTAGGGATTTCTCCCTTCTTTTTAATGTGATTAATATTTAATTAATTAATTAATTAATTAATGTGTCAAGTCTGTGTGACACCATGGCGGTGTGCTCTTCTACTTCCATAATAAAGTCAGAGTAATAATACAGTCAGGAGCTGAAAAGCAGGGAATGCAGTTTCGCTTGTTACTGGATAATCAATGAGTGTTAATACGCTTTTCCCTACTCACATGGTCAAATTGATCAAATATTTCCAAGGCATTAGCTTTTAAAAGTTGGCTTTGTCAGCTCTATGAGAAGACACGCATTTCGATTTTTATCGTGCTCCTCCTCTGTCGGGAGATTTGGAGCTGCCCTGGATCTTGGCCTTTTCGTTCATAAACCAGGGAGGACTGTCATGGGTTTGCTTCCATTATCATCTCTTGTCTCAAGATTTCTAAAAGACATCAGCTGATGCACCCTTTTGCCCACATAGTGTGAAAAGTCCTCAGGGTGAGGAGCTATCCTGGTTCTTCCACAGAATCTTCAATGATCAGCTTGTCTAAGTGGAGAATGGATGACGGGGTCTCCAGCACGTGTATTTGGTGGTTTGGTGGTGGCAGTGGCAGTGGGGATGCTTTTGTGTTTCGTAGTCTGCCCCTCTGTCTGTTTGACCCCAGAGACCCTGTGGTTAGTTGCAGGACTTTGAAGTCCACAGGAGAGATAGTAGGGAAAGGGACGGTCAGTTGTCCTCTTTCTGCCTAGGTTCACTTGGATCTCTAGGACTGGGCTCACTAGGAGACACAGGACATAACATAGAGCTATTTGTATCTGGGAGCCACAGTTTCCTTGTCTGTTAAATGAGCAGAGTAACACCAATCTCACTCATTTGGAATATTCAATGAGGTAATACTTAAAACACCTAGCTGACCTGTACAATTGTAGCTATTCTCTTCTGCAGATCTAGTATTCCTATTCACCCCTCCCTCCGCATAGGGATCTGGTGTGAAATCATCAGTTGCTCCATGGGGTGGGGAGCTGGCCATTCTTTGGTTAAGGTCAGAGCTGAGCTCTTCGCCTATGTCTTAATGTCACCTTCCTACCAGACTTGTTCCTCCAGCAATGGATGATCAAAATGCAGATAGGATGGATGTGATCAATGCATTTTGTTGGAGTTGCTGCATTCTTTCTACTTTCTCAGGGCAAAAAAATGAACGGTCGGGCAAGAGACTAACCGGGGCCTCAGAGAAAGTGAAATTCTTTATCTAGCTCCTGACAGTAGTCCTTCCATGGGTATACAGGTATTGATCGACTTACGACCTATGCAACTCACGACCATTCAACTTTACGACCACAATCGCTAGCCATGACTGCTCTGCGTCTGGCAGCACAAACGTTGCCCAGCTGGGTGTACGACAGTGCAGACCAGCTTCCGGCAGCACTGCCATCTCCACATGCACCATTTCAACTGTACGTATAGCCTACTCAACTTACGACCAAATCGTGTTACGACCGGTCTGCCGGTCCCAATCGTGGTCGTAAGTCGAGCACTAGCTGTAGTTACAATTGCATAGGGGTCTCATTGTGATGGTGCCGTTATACAGGCCAGCAAGCCCACTGTGTGGGCCAGACCTCATGGGCTCTGCCCTTGTTTTCCTCTTTTTTTTTTTTTGAGACAGGGTCTCACTCTGTCGCCCAGGCTGGAGTGCAGTGATATGATCTCAGCTCACTGCAACCTCTGCCTCCCTTATGATTCTCTTGCCTCAGCCTTCCCAGTAGCTGAGATTACAGGCCTCAGCCAGCATGCCTGGCTAATTTTTGTATTTTTAGTAGGACAGGGTTTCACATGTTGGCCAGGCTGGTCTTGAACTCCTGACCTCAGGTGATCCACCTCAGCCTCCCTAAGTGCTGGGATTACAGGTGTGAGCCACTGCGCCTGGCTGCCCCATTCTTTTTCTTGACGTTATAGTTAGTGGTGAAAACGTGTAAATGGTAATACTCCCTGCAGTATGTATGCTGAAGTGACTACCCTGAAGACAGTTTTTTAAGTCCTATTTTCTTTTCTTTCTAGGATATGACAATTGTTTTCTGTTTGTATTAATACAGGCTTGAAAGGAATTGGTAAAGTGATTCCGTCTTTGTCAGCAGCTTGGAGCAAACCTGTGGTTCTGGGGTCGTGTTGAACTCATTTGACATCAGTAGTTACTTATATCTTTATGCCTCAGATTCAAATGTGCGTGTTTTTTCCTTTCTCCTTTTAGCTTCACGAAGCTGACATTGTGGTCCTAGGCTCACCTAGGCCAGAAGAGATTCCCCTTACTTGGATACAACCCGGAACAACTGTTCTCAACTGCTCCCATGACTTCCTGTCAGGTAAATGTCTTCACACTGGTGTGCAGCCACCGATGAGGTCAGATCGTTGGAAGAAACGTTAACCTTTTCCTCAGAGGGTCTGTTTCTGAAATGTTGGCTGTCGTCAACATTAATATATAGGACTGGAAACTTAGAATATGGGTTACCTGACAGAACCATGCCGCTGGGCAAAGAGAAACCAAGATGGCGGTTGAGGTGTCTGCTCACACAGCGAAGTGCCCCCTGCTGGTCTCTAGCAGTCAGGTCAGTCGTGACCTCAAGTAGATGATGTGCATGTGTGTGAGGTAAACTAGAAATAGTGGTTTTCAGTCTCTTAAAAAGTGGTAAGATCCTTTCTTCCAAAGAAATCTTCGCAGAATCTCACTATGAAATGCAAATGAGAGCTGGGTGGCCAGGAGGAGTGGGAACAGGATCGCCTCTGTGTCTCCCCGATTTCCCCTCGCGTTGACCCGTGAAGCACACCCTCCGAGCTCCGGAGCCATCACAGAACAGTACGAAAATCACCACTAGATGCAGAAACAGTTTTAGGATTGGGCCTGCTATTTGATGGCATTTTGCCAAGGTACCAGGAGTACTCTAGACCACACCAGGCCCGTGGGGGCAGCCAAGCAGTGCCCGCAACAGGGCAGCCAGCGGCCAAGGAGTCCAGGAGGAGCCAACCCAGAGTGGGTTCCTTTTTCCAGTTTGTAAAAAGACACTGAGGCTGAGGCAGCCTTAACCACACCCAGCCCCACTCAGCAAGTCCCTGAGCAGCACAGGTGAGCAAGAGACGATGGCACGGGGAGGCAGAGGAGAGTGTCCCCCCCCACCCCCGTGCTCATTCCTCCTGGGTTTGGCCTCCAAATGTTCATGCAGAGGAGAGGACTGGGCTGAGCTGGGCTGGAGGACAGTGGTACATTTTCCCCCTAAAGCTGGGCAGAACATACACCAAAGTTGGCAGCCTCTGCTCTCCTTCACCTCCACCAGGACCATACTTGAGGTTGAAATCTTGAAACCTTGTAGGCAGCTCCATAAAAGACAGGCAGTGCCATAAAAGAGTGAGCCATAATGAGAGGTTAATACTGACCCTCCACTCTAGGAAATACAGCTCCTGCCAGAATTGACCAATCAGACTAAAAACCCCTTGGGGCCTGAGAGGGTGGAATGGATCAAAATCAAAGGAAAGAGCCAGAGTTCAGCTCTTGCATTAAGAGCTGTGGCCCTGGCTGGGCACAGTGGCTCATGCCTGTAATCCCAGCACTTTGGGAGCCCGGTGGGGGGAAGATCATGAGATCAGGAGTTCGAGACCAGCCTGACCAACATGGTAAAACCCTGTCTCTACAAAAAATACAAAAATTAGCCAGGTGTGGTGGCACAGCCCTGTAATCTTAGCTACTCAGGAGGCTGAGGCAGGAGAATTGCTTGAACCTGGGAGTTGGCAGTGAACCGAGATCTGGCCATTGCACTCTAGCTCCAGTGAGAGTGAGACTCTGTCTCAAAAAAACAAAAAAAGAAAGAGCTGTGGCCATAATGGCTTCTTTTGACAGGCAGAAGGCATATGCTAAATTACAAATCACATTTTAAAAATATGTGTAGTTTCTTTGAATAACTTTTTCTTCAAAACAAAACAAAACAAAATAAAACAAAAACAAAATAGTGGACAGGGCAGATTCATTCCTCTGTTCTGAATCCCAGTTAGATTAGGCAACTCAGTGCTAACATTTGTTTCTTGTAAGTGAATGCTGCTTTGCTGTAATATTGGCTTGCTGTGTTTTATTAAAGTTTTCATGTAGGATAGTTTTGGCACAGTCATGGCTGGAGATAGGAGTCTACTTTGATGTTTTTCTGGAATCCCTTTGAACCCTGTGGTTACATGACAGTGACATATATTTTGTTAGTGAAAGTACTTTATTTTTAATAAGGTTTCCTTTTAGGACCCTTATTTTTGAAAAAGGTATTCGCTGAAACATTAGATTTCAATGAAATGATTCTCTGGGGGAAAAAAAGACCAAGGCATTACAGATATTCCTCAACTTACCATGGAGTTATGAGCAGATAAACCCATCAGAAGTTGAAAATATTGTAAGTAAACAATGACCATTTGTAGACAGGATGGGATGTGGAAACACAAATCAACATCCAAACGTGCTGACAGCACAGTACACCATCGTGTATTGGCTGTTTGGCCTCGTGATTGCGTGGCTGACCGGAAACTGTGATTTGCTGTCACTGCTGCCCAGGGTCTCAAGACAGCCTTGTGCTGTGTGTAGCTAGCTAAGGAAAAGGTCAAAATTCGAAGCATAGTTTCTACTGAACGCATGTCCCTTTCCCACCATCATAAAGTGGATAAACAGTAAGTGAAAAGGTTGTAAATCAGGGATGGTCTGTGTATTTCAAAATGATTCTAAAAGTAGACCGATTGTAATTTATTTGAAATATATCTGGCCCAACTCTAATAGTTTTCTTGGTTTTTGAATGCCCAGTGTTCAGAATATTATTTGATGCTTAGTAAGCACTCTATGAATTTTTGTGTTTTTTTTTGGGCTGGAGTGCAGTGGCGTGATCTTGGCTCACTGCAACCTCCACCTTCCAGGTTCAAATGATTCTCCTGCCTCAGCCTCCCAAGTAGCTGGGATTACAGGTGCCCGCCACCATGCCCGACTAGTTTTTTCTTGTAATTTTAGTAGAGACAGGGTTTCACCATGCTGGCCAGGCTGGTTTCGAACTCCTGCCTCAAGTGATCCACTCACTTTGGCCTCTCAAAGTGCTGGGATTATAGGGTTGAAGCTCTGCGCCCCACTGAATCTGTGAATATTGAGTGTTGAGCAAGTTGACAAACATGGACTCAGACTTGTACTCTGCTCATAGTGTTAAGTTTGTGGTATGTTTAGAGACATTTCCTTGAACTTCTCTCCCACTTAAAAATGGGGCTGACAGCCGGGCGCCGTGGCTCACTCCTGTCATCCCAGCACTTTGGGAGGTCAAGGCTGGTGGATCACCTGAGGTCAGGAATTCGAGACCAGGCTGGCCAACATGGTGAAGCTCTGTCTCTACTAAAAATACAAAAAAAATTAGCTGGGCTTATAGGTGGGCACCTGTAATCCCAGCTACTCAGGAGGCTGAGGCAGCAGGAGGCAGAGGTTGCGGTAAGCTAAGATTGCAGCATTGCACTCCAGCCTGGATGACAACAGCGAGACTCCTTCTAAAAAAAAAAAAAAAAAAATTGGGAGGCAGGCTGAGGTGGGTAGATCACCTGAGGTCAGGAGTTCGAGACCAGACTGACTAATGTGGGGAAACCTGTCTCTACTGAAAATAATTAACTGGGCGTGATGGGCACCTGTTATTCTAGCTACTCGGGAGGCTGAGACAGGGGAATCGCTTGAACCTGGGAGGCAGAGGTTGCAGTGAGCCAAGACTATACCTTTGCACTCTAGCCTGGGCAACAAGGGCGAAACTCCATCTCAAAAAAAAAACCAAAAATGGGGCCAACTAGGCAGCCATCGATGATGATTGATGCTGATGAAAACAGATGAACAGTTTTGGAGTGGTGCTATCCATAGTGGCACATTTCTAAATAGTCTACAAGTTTTAATTTTAGCAACTTTGTTTAGTATGAGAATTTAATCTAGGAATAATGGAGAAGGTTTTTTCCCCCTCTTTTTTTTTTTAACTCACCACTGTAAAGAATAAACTTTTTGAAATATTATAAAGAAAGAGCTCTTATTTAAACTGAAGATGAGAAGAACTTTTCATAAACTTGTGGCTGGGTGAAGGCAGAGTTTTATAATGAAATTTTTATTCTTACCTTCATGGTACAGGGTTCCTCCCCCTCCCCCCATAAAAATAGATGGGATGTGGTGATTTATGATGAGGTAATTCTGTGGAGGCATTTTATGGAATACTTAATCCTAGGAGAGATTTTCCTGATGGCTGATAGCCCAGACACAGAGCTCAGAAAACAATTACACCCAGCTTGTTGGTTCTGTTCGTTTAACCATCGCATGAGTCCAATGCTTAGATTTTAAACAAGGAAATTTCAACAATCTCTTTTCTAGCTAGAGGAGTAACTACATTTTTATTTGTTAAGAAAATACATATTTCTTTTTCTTTCTTTCTTTTTTTTTTTTTTTTTTTTTTAAGAAAAGATCTTGCTCTGCTGCCCAGGCTAGAGTGCAGTGTGACAGTCACAGCCTCAAACTCCTGGGCTCAAGCAATCTTCCCTCCTAAGCTAATTAAAACTTTTTTTTTTTTTTTTTTTTTTTGGTGTATGGAGGCAGGGTTCTCACTGTGTTGCCCAGGCTGGCCTTGAACACCTGGTCTCAAGTAGTCTTCCTGCCTCCACCTCCAAAAAGTGCTGAGATGACTTGTGTGAACCACCATGCTCAGCCTAAAAGACTTATTTCAAATGAAAGAAATCCACACTAATGTTGCGCCCTGCTTGCTAAACAGCAGATCTCATCATAAGCAAAACCATTTTGTACCCCAAATGTTAGGACTTATTTACTGATGTACCCAATGGGACCAAGGAGAAGCTGGTCTTCTGTCTTGGGCTCTGAGAACAGTATCAAAACAGCAACTCTGTGGCACAGAGTAGTTTATAGCATTTTAAGGTAATATAATTCTATGTAGAGGGGAAGAGCCCTGGGATGCTGATGTGTTGGAGCCCCTGAGGAACCTTGAGCCTTTCCCTCATATGGCTCTGAAGGGAGACATTAGAACATAGTGGAGACCGGGCGCTGTGGCTGACGCCTGTAATCGCAACACCTTGAGAGGCCGAGTCGGGTGGATTACTTAAGGTCAGGAGTTCAAGACCAGACTGACTAACATGGCGAAACCCCATCTCTACTAAAAATACAAAAGTTAGCTGGGCATGGTCGCAGGCGCCTGTAATCCCAGCTACTTGGGAGGCTGAGGCAGGAGAATTGCTTAAAACCAGGAGGCGGAGGTTGTAGTGAGCCAAGAACGCGCCATTGTACTCCAGCCTGGGCGACAAGAGCAAAAGTCCGTCTCAAAAAAAAAAA